TGGTTTAGACCTGGTTTAGACCTTATTTAGACCTGGTTTAGTCCTGGTTTAGTCCTGGTTTAGACCTGATTTAGACCTGGTTTCGTCCTGGTTTAGACCTGGTTTAATTCTGTTTTAGACCTTGTTTAGACCTGGTTTAGTCCTGGTTTAATTCTGTTTTAGACCTTATTTAGACCTGGTTTAATCCTGGTTTAGACCTAGTTTAGACCTGGTTTAGTTCTATTTTAGCCCTAATTTAGTCCTGGTTTAGACCTAGTTTAGTCCCAGTTCAGTCCTGAAATAGTCCTGGTTTAGTCGTGGTTTAGTTCTGTTTTAGTCCTGGTTCAGTCCTGTTATAGTTCTGCTTCAGTCTTGTTTTAGTCCCAGTTTAGTTCAGGTTTAGTTCTGGTTTAGTTTTCTTTTAGTCTGGTTTTAGACCTGGTTTAGTCTTAGTTTAGTCCTAGTTTAGTCCCGGTTTAGTCCTGGTTCAGTTTTTGTTCTGTATCTCTACATAAAATCAACATGTCGAGTTTGTGTTTGAGTTGATCCCGAACAAATAACGAGAAGGAGAAACATTTGTGGATCAGAAGTTTGGAGATTTATTTCAAAACTGTAAATGAAAACAAACTGTACTTTATGAACACGACTCTATTTTTACATTTGAATAAACATTTTTACACTTTTATCTGATTTTTCTTTTCTAATCTAGGACTGTATTTTCTTACACACCAACTTTGAGTAAATATCAATATTGTTGTACTTTTGGGCCCTTGAGCAAGACACTTCAACAGCTGCCACTCACATGTTCAACCACTGACTCTTTAAGATCTGTTTTTTTATTGATTACTTTTTGCGCAATATCTGATAAAAGTTGGAGTTCTGCTCAGCGTCATGATGAAAAAACAGTTCCACCTTGTGATGTCATTAAGTGGTAATACAGGAAGTGCTCCATTGTGTTTGTAAACTCCACACACCTTCACTAGAATAAGTCCATGAATCTCACTGACTTCAGCTTTGAAATTGGAACTGTGAAAAACCTAAACATGTTTTTATTTTTTATTTATTCATAAAACATTAAAAACTGTTTGTACAATTTACTAGAATGAAACTTGTCTTAAATTTAACTCTCCAGGAGTTGCCAAAGTGCCCAGACTCATAAAACACATCTGTAGGGTCGATTCTGTGTAAGTTTTGGCTCGGGGCCGACACCTGCTTGTTTCGATGGAAATGTCGTTGCTCACCTACGACGGAGTATAAGGGTCGGATTTTTAGGAGGAAAAGCGCGAAGAAATCCTTCAAGGGTGGCTGGGGCTGGTCCAGGAAACCGGGGACAGAATGGCACAAGAGTGGGCAGAGAAAGACGCCGAGCGGGAAACACATCTGTCTAAATTGGTCGAAAAAATACAAGAGCTCAAGCAAAGCGGCAAAAAAACAAAGAAGAGGTGGAAATTCTCCCCGCGCTCGTGGTTTTCCTGCGGCAGGAACAAAGTTAGACCTGCCGTCTGCTCCTGCAGTCCTCACTGCAGTGAGTAGTTAAGAGCTGTAGGGGGCAGCAGTGTTCACTTACAGAGTGAGTGCGGCTGCCCTGCGTTCAGCGCCTGGGCTGTGGGAGGTTGATATTGGAGTAAGTGGTTACGAGCTGTAGGGGGCAGCACTTTGTAATATTTCCACAAATTCTCCTCAGTGACATTTTCCTCCAAACACACAAAGAGGCTCTTGAGGCACAAAGATTAATAGTGGGACCGGTTACTCAAATAATCCTGCACTTTGTCGTACAAGCACCAAATTTGGCATGGTTGTAGCTTAGAACCCCCTCTTTCAGAAAAGCACGTGAGCCACCTAAAAAAAACTCAATGGCCGCCAATTTTCAAGATGGCCGCCATTTCTATATCAAAAGTAAACTTCTCCACATTGATATTGTTTTGATCATCCTTGTGCTGTGAATATGGCCTAGAAATGGAAATGTTTGTATTAAACAATAATAAAACATAAAATACAAGTAAACAATTGGAAAATCCATCAATTTTCTTCTGCTTATCCGGGGCCGGGGCGCGGGGGCAGCAGCCTAAGCAGAGACTCCCAGACTTCCTTCACCCAGACACGTCCTCCAGCTCCTCCGGGGGAACCTCGAGTTGTTCCCAGTCCAGCTAAGAGACATAGTCCCTCCAGCGTGTCCTGGGTCTTCCCCGGGCCTCCTCCCAGTGGCACATGCCTGGAACAACTCCTGAGGAGGAAAAACTGTTATTGACCATTGTAAATCTATTTTTGCTGTATGGCTTTCCAGATATTGTGCGTTCAGATAATGGTCCACAATTTGCATCTGAAGCATTTCAAACGTTTGCTCAAACATGGTGTTTTACGCATGTTACATCTCGTCCCCACTTCCCACAAAGTAACGGGGAGGCAGAGCGTGCAGTCAGGACTGTCAAAAACTTACTCAAAAAGTCTAGTGATCCTTACCTAGTTTTAATGGTTTACTGTGTCTCACCTGTGGCCAGTGGGTATAGTCCTACTGAACTGCTCATGGGTCAAAAGATACGTACTACCGTTCCTGTCATTCCTTCTCAGCTCCATCCAAACGGAGCCGATTTGGGAAAGGTGAAAAGTAGAGAACAGACTTATAGGCTAAAACAGTCACAGAACTATAACAAAAGGCATAGAGCTCACGACATGCCCAATCTGCAGCCAGGTGAGCATGTGTGGGTCAAGGACCTGCAGCAGAGAGGAACTGTGGTGTCCACTGCAGGAACACCCAGGTCCTACGTTGTGGAAACACCGAGTGGCCGTCTCCAGAGAAACAGGTATCATCTGTCCCGCACACCGGTGGCTCCACAGCTGCACATCGCTCTTCCAGATACATCTTCAGATAACTGCCATGCAGAGACTCAACCAGTTTCACCTGAGATACCCCCTGACTCCACCCAGCAGTCTCCACAGTCTGAGAGACGCTATCCTGCCCGGCTCAGAAAAACACCAGAGTATTTGAAAGACTATGGTACTTGAGTTGAAGAGGGTTGGGGCAGAATAATCCCCATTTTCAGACCAAGGGGTTTGGGCAGTTTACTACCACAGAGTATAAGGGTCAGATTAAAAAAATGATGCTGGCGCTACGAGAATAAAGTCGTAACATTTCAATATTAAAGTCGTAATTTTACAAGAATAAAGTCGAAGTTAAAATAAAGTCGTAATATTATGAGAATAAAGTTATAATATTACGAGAATGAAGTCGTAATAAAATCAAAGTCAAAGTGAAAAATGCAGAAGAAGAAGAAACTTATTTTTCGATATAAAACCAAAAATAAGAAAACTAAAAAAACAACAATTTTCTTCTTTATTTGCGCCTCTGGACTGAACCAGGACTGAACCAGGTCCGGGACCAGACCGGGACTGAGACCAGGACATAGACCGGGACCAGACAAGGACTGAGTACAGGACCAAGACTGAGACCGGGATCAGACCAGAACTGAGACCAGGACTGAGACCGGGACCGAGACCGGGACCAGACCAGGACTGAAAACAATTTAGTCCTGGTTCAGTCCTGGTTCAGTCCTGGTTCAGTCCTGGTTCAGTCCTGGTTCAGTCCGTATGTGGCGCATTAGTCCTGCATCGCATTTTAAAGTCACAGAAACGCCGTTTCCCATTTCCGTGACTTAAACCAGGACTAAACCAGGATTAAACTGTTTTCAGTCCTCGTCTGGTCCCGGTCTCAGTCCTGGTCTGGTCTCGGTCTGGTCCCAGTCTCAATCCTGGTCTTAGTTCTGGTTTGGTTCTGGACCTGATTCAGTCCTGGTTCAGTTGAATGAACGAATGATACACGGATTCTTCTCCTTTACAAAATGCTCCAAATTCTCCACAGCTCCAGACTCAGACTCATTCAGACTTTCTGAGCAGCCGATATTCTCATAATATTACAACTTTATTTTGACTACGACTTTATTCACATAAAATTACAACTTCATTCCTGTAAATTTACGACTTTATTCGCGTAAAAGTACGACTTTTTCTGGTTTTGACTTTATTCTCATAATATTACGACTTTAATGTCGAAATGTTACGACTTTATTCTCGTAGCGCCAGCATTTATTTTTTGTTTTTTTATCTGACCCTTATACTCCGTTGTACTCACCTCCTAGGACCTGGTTTCCACACGTGTAAACATTTATGTCCAAGACATTTTGGGTTGTTCAAACACTTTAGAAATAGTTTTTGCAAATCATTATTCAATTGTGACTTTATTGTGTTCCATCAAATGATTAAAAGCATAAACTGAATGTTTTATAAATGATATGTGGACATAATTTTTCTCAGAAACTACATCATGTAAAAATCAATTTTTTTTTTTTTTTTCCTCCTCAGGTCCTTATGAGCCCAAATAACAAAGACAAATCAATAAAGCCGCAAGAGTTTGGGTCCTGGGAGATTAAACAGCTCCACTTTACATTTATTCAATTACAGGGGGTTAAAAAAAAATACAAATACATTCTGACTGTGAGCGGTGTCGCCTCTCCACAGATCTGACCTGCAACTTGGTCTGGTTTGGTCTCCATGAAGATAGAAAGGTTTAAAGACATACTGTGGAACATTCCAGACAAAGCAATAATAATAATCTCCATGGAGAAAAGCGTTTGACGGACGTTCCACCAGAAAAGTTACACAATGCAAATTTAACAATGTTGTTAGGGACAGGGACTGGGACAGGGACAGGGGGACAGGGACATGTGGGACAGGGACAGGGACATGGGACAGGGGACAGGGGACAGGGACGGGACATGGGGGGACAGGGACATGAGGGACAATGGGGACAGGGACATGGGGGACAGGGACATGAGGGACAAAGGGACAGGGACAGGACAGGGACAGGGACAGGGACAGGGACAGGGACATGACAGGGACAGGGACATGGGACAGGGACAAGGGACAGGGACATGGGGGACAGGGACATGAGGGACAGGGACATGTGGGACAGGGACATGAGGGACAGGGACAGGGACAGGGACATGGGACAGGGACAGGGACAGGGACAGGGACAGGGACAGGGACATGGGGACAGGGACAGGCAGGGAATGACAGGGACAGGGACATGGGACAGGACAGGGGGACAGGGACAGGGACAGGGACAGGGACAGGGACAGGACAGGGAGGGACAGGGACATGACATGGGACAGGGGGACAGGGACAGGGGGACAGGGACATGAGGGACAGGGACATGGGGACAGGGACATGACATGGGACAGGGACATGAGGGACAGGGACAGGACATGGGGGACAGGGACATGGGGACAGGGGACAGGGACATGGGGGACAGGGGACATGAGGACAGGGGACAGGGACATGGGACAGGGACATGAGGGACAGGGACATGTGGGACAGGGACATGACAGGGACAGGGGGACAGGGACAGGGGGGGACAGGGACAGGGACAGGACATGGGACAGGACAGGGACAGGGACAGGGACATGGGGACAGGGACATGTGGGACAGGGACATGTGGGACAGGGACATGGGACAGGGACATGAGGGACAGGGACATGTGGGACAGGGGGACAGGGACATGTGGGACAGGGACATGAGGGACAGGGACATGTGGGACAGGGACATGAGGGACAGGGACAGGGGACAGGGACATGGACAGGGACAGGGACAGGGACATGGGACAGGGACATGGGACAGGGACATGGGACAGGGACATGTGGGACAGGGACATGGGACAGGGGGGACAGGACAGGGGGACAGGGACATGGGGACAGGGACAGGGACATGGGGACAGGGACAGGGACAGGACAGGGACAGGGACATGTGGGACAGGGACATGGGACAGGGACATGAGGGACAGGGAGGGACAGGGACAGGGACAGGGACATGGAGGGACAGGGACATGGGACAGGGACAGGGACATGAGGGACAGGGACATGAGGGACAGGGACATGTGGGACAGGGGGACAGGGACATGTGGGACAGGGACAGGGACAGGGACATGTGGGACAGGGACATGTGGGACAGGGACAGACAGGGACAGGGACAGGGGGACAGGGACAGGGGACAGGGACATGTGGGACAGGGGGACAGGGACATGAGGGACAGGGACATGTGGGACAGGGACATGTGGGACAGGGACATGAGGGACAGGGACATGTGGGACAGGGACAGGGACAGGGACAGGGACATGTGGGACAGGACATGTGGGACAGGGACAGGGACAGGGACATGGGACAGGGGGACAGGGACATGTGGGGACAGGGACAGGGACAGGACATGTGGGACAGGGACATGTGGGACAGGGACATGAGGGACAGGGACATGGGGACAGGGACAGGGACATGTGGGACAGGGACAGGGACAGGGACAGGGACAGGGACAGGGACATGGGGACAGGGACAGGGGGACAGGGACAGGGGGACATGAGGGACAGGGACAGGGACAGGGACAGGGACAGGGACATGTGGGACATGGGGACAGGGACATGTGGGACAGGGACATGTGGGACAGGGACAGGGGGACAGGGACATGTGGGACAGGGACATGAGGGACAGGGGACAGGGGGACAGGGACATGTGGGACAGGGACAGGGACAGGGACAGGGACAGGGGGGGACAGGGACATGTGGGACAGGGACATGTGGGACAGGGGACAGGGACATGTGGGGACAGGGACATGAGGACAGGGACAGGGACAGGGACAGGGACATGGGGACAGGGACATGAGGGACAGGGACAGGGACAGGGACAGGGACATGGGACAGGGACATGAGGGACATGAGGACAGGGACATGAGGGACAGGGACATGGGGACAGGGACAGGGACAGGGGGACAGGGACATGAGGGACAGGGGGACAGGGACATGTGGGACAGGGGACAGGGACATGTGGGACAGGGACATGAGGGACAGGGACAGGGACATGTGGGACAGGGACATGTGGGACAGGGACATGAGGGACAGGGACAGGGGGGACAGGGACATGTGGGACAGGGACATGAGGGACAGGGGGACAGGGACATGTGGGACAGGGACATGTGGGACAGGGACAGGGGACAGGGACATGAGGGACAGGGGGACAGGGACATGAGGGACAGGGGGACAGGGACATGTGGGGTCATGTCCTGACTGGGCTTCTTCATTTGCATTTTTCTGCTGCATTGGCCGCCAGTCGGCAGCAAATCTGGATCCTCATATATAACGCCAATATCTTAAATCAATTACATTTCTGTATTTATTTTGACCTAATCTAATGTATGAGAAATAAATAGCTTCCATAGATGTAAATGTTGACGTTTTAATGTTTATTTAAAGTTTATTTATTTTCTCAGAACGGCCGGTGTGCGTTTTGACAGCGGACTAACTGACGCAGCGGAAGGTTACGTGCGCAGGACGTTCTCCGCCGACGCACGGGTATAAAGGCCGAGGCGCGCTCTCATTTGCAGTATTGTGTCTGCGGCAGGACGCGCGCACCTGTCGTATTTTAACCAGAACAAACTGTACAGCTACTAAAACACTGTGGATTTAATCAAAACTGGACATTTTTACGGGAAATAACGCCAAGGGGACGTTTAACGGACACGTACGGCTGATTTCACCGCTAACCGCCAGCCTCTCCTGCCTTTTATTTCAGCACGAAGGGCGCAACCAGCTGACAATTTTGCGGATAAATAATTCATTTCTGGAGTAACGACAGTTTATTTTTTACAAACCGGACATCGCGACGCTCTTGGGGACCCTTTAAGCCCAACATCTAACGCCTTAACGTGACGAGAAGACAATGTTGACATCCTGAAAATATGTCAACAGCCTCAATGCGCGCAAATTTAAGATAATCGCGTAAAGTGCACGTGCTTTTATTGACCGGACACGTGAAATCTGCAAAAGTGGATGCTCCATTTGCATTTTTTTTTTTTTTTACCCCGTTATGTTCGCGGTCGAGCCGAAAGAGCAGCAGCTATGACGCGAGGAGCAGCGTCAGGGTTGTGTCACTGCCTCGCCGACAGATAGCTTCTCGTTTTTTGCACGGTTTTCCAATGTTTTGAGTCCGTGCACGCTCGGCATCATGTAGGGATCCGTGGCCATGCGTGATTCGTGCGTGGGAAAGCGTGTCTGCAGATGAATGCAAAGCCGGATCTGTGCTAAAAAAAAAACAAAAACAAAAAAACGACTAAAAATAACGCGTGCGATGCCGTGCTCGGTGTGCAGAGCATGAGAAGTGCCCACGTCCCGACTGCATCCTGTGTTTATGCAACATCCGAGGAGCCTGCGATGAAATAAACGACATTTTAAGTGGATTATTTGGAAAAAAAAAAGAAGACTCCATCCTTCCTCCTCGCATCTCTTCATCCCTTTTTTTTTTTTTTTTTTTTTTTTTGAGTCATCGCTGCAATGGAGTCCGTGGGAGATTTCGAGTACAGTAGGAAGGACTTGGTAGGACACGGGGCGTTCGCTGTGGTCTTCAAAGGACGCCACAGGAAGGTAAATAAATAAAAAAAAATAAAAATAAATAAATAAAAGGGCATTTGGGGGTGTGTTTTGGTGTGATCTAGGTCACTGCGGTGGAGACATATGGTTCGGCAGCGTCACGTTTTTTTTTTTTGTTTTTTTTTTTTGGAAGTGGGACGCCAGATTTTTACGGCGTCCTTTAACCCCACGCGCGCCACAAGAGGCTAAAGAGACTTGGAAGTGATGAAGTGCATCGTAAATACCTCAGATGACCTGGTTTAGACCTGGTTTAGACCTGGTTTAGATGTGTGGAAACGTTCTAGCTGTCTTCATAGTAAAGCTTAAGTTGGTCCTGGTGTGGTCCTGGTGTGGTCCTGGTGTGGTCCTGGTGTGGTCCTGGTTTAAATGTGGAAAAGTCCTAGCTGTCATCATAGTAAAACCCAGTGTAGTCCTGGTGTAGTCCTTTTGTAATCCTGATTCGGATAAGGAAATCCCAAGTTAGTCCTGGTTTAGTCCTGGTTTAGTCCTGGTTTAGTCCTGGTTTAGTCCTGGTTTAGTCCTGGTTTGGTCCTGGTTTAGTCCTGGTGTGGTCCTGGTGTGGTCCTGGTTTAGTCCTGTTTCAGATATGGAAAAGTCTTAGCTGTCATCCTAGTAAAGCCCAAATTAGTCCTGGTTTATTCCCAATTTATTCAGTTTATTCCTGGTTTATACTCGGTTCAGTCCTGGTTTTAGTGGTTTAGACCTAGTTTTGTTCTGGTTTAGACCTGGTTTAGACCTGGTTTAGTCTTTGTGTAGTCCTGGTTCAGATGTGGAAAAGTCTTAACTGTCATCCTCGTAAACCCCAAGTTAGTCCTGGTCTAGTCCTGGTTTATAGTATTGTTTTGGACCTAGTTTAGTCCTGTTTTAACCCTGATTTAGGTCATGTTTGGACCTGGTGTAGTCCTGCTTTAGTCCTGGTTTAGATGTGGCAAAATCTGAGCTGTCAACCTAGTAAAGTCTAAGTTTAGTCCTGGTTCAGTCCTGGTTCAGTCCTGGTTCAGTCCTGGTTCAGTCCTGGTTCAGTCCTGGTTTAGGTCTTGTTTGGACCTAGTATAATCCTGGTTTGGATATAGAATAGTCTTACCTGTCACTGTTGTATAAACAGAGCTTAGTCCGGGTTTAGTCCTGCTTTAGGTCTTGTTTGAACCTATAGTTTAGACCTGGTTTAGATCTGGCTTTAAAAGTTTAGTTAGTCCCGTTTTCATCTGGTTGTTCACAATAGTCTTCAGTGTTTTCAGACACGTTTGTGCTGTTGTGAGCGTTTTGAAAATATCAGGATTTATAATTTCAGTGGGATTTAAACAGAGTTGGATGAGCTCAGTGTCTCCAGTTACATCAGAATATCTGACCCCAGTGACTCTGCACAACCACTGGCCTTTTATTTTATTCAACACCTGTTTAGACCTGGTTTAGACCTGGTTTAGTCCTGGTTTAGACCTGGTTTAGACCTGGTTTAGACCTGGTTTAGACCTGGTTTAGACCTGGTTTAGTCCTTGGTTCAGTTCATGGTCTAGTCTTGGTTTAGTCCCTGGTTTAGTACAGGTTTAGTTTTGCTTTAGTCTTGGTCTAGTCCAGGTCTAGTCTTAGTCTAGTCTCAAACTAATCCTGGTCTAATCCTAGTCTAATCCTGGTCTAGTCTAGGTCTAGTCTCAATCTAGTCTCAGTCTGGTCTCGATCTAATCCTGGTCTAGTCTTGGTCTAGTCTTGGTCTAGTCTTGGTCTAGTCTTGGTCTAGTCTTGGTCTTGTTTCGGTCTAGTTTTGGTCTGGTCCTGGTCTAGTCTCAGTCTAGTCCTGGTCTCGTCCCAGTCTGGTCCCGGTCCGGTCCTGGTCTTTGCTCACTTGTGTTTGTGCTTTAATCCTTCTGTTCATTCATGAATCATGTGAATGAACTGATGTCGACATAAAGAACGGAGGACGAGAAAGACAGAGAGATGGAGAGAGAGATGGAGAGAGAGATGGAGAGAGAGATGGAGAGAGAGATGGAGAGAGAGATGGAGAGAGAGATGGAGAGAGAGATGGAGAGAGAGAAAGAGAGAGAAAGAAGGAGAGAAAGAAGGAGAGAAAGAAGGAGAGGAGATAAACAGGGAGGAGGAGATGATGAGAGAGAGACGGGTGATAAATGGAGAAATGGAAAGAAAGAAAGGGGGGGAGAAGGAGATGGAGAGAGGGGAAACTGAAAGGAGGAGGGAGGGAGCGAGGGAGGGAGAAGTGAATGAGTCAGGGGAGAGGGAATGATATAGAGAGAAAAGAGGGAGAGAGAGAGAGAGAGAGAAAGAGAGGAGAAAACAGGGAAGAGAGAGAAAGAGAGAGAAAACATGGAAGAGAGAGAGAAAACAGGGAGGAGAGAGAGAAAACGGGGAGGACAGAGAGAGAGAAAGAGACAGAAAACAGGGAGGAGAGAAAGAGAAAACAGGGAGGGAGAGAGAGAAAATGGGGAGGAGAGAGAAACAGAGAGGAGGAGAGGAGGAGAAAGTGAGAGGAGAGAGGAGGAAGGAAGGAGGTAGAGAAAACAGGGAGGAAGAGAGAGAATGAAAAGAGAGGGGGAGGGAGGAGTGAGTGAAGAGAGAAACAGATACAGAGAGAGGAAAACGGAAGGAGGAGAGAATGAGACGACGAGGAGGAGGATGGAGGGATGGAGATGGAGGGATGGAGATGCAGATGGAGGGATGAGATGCAGATGGAGATGGATGGAGGGATGGAGGGATGGAGATGGAGGGATGGAGATGGAGGGATGGAGATGGAGGGATGGAGATGCAGATGGAGGGATGGAGAGATGGATGTGGTTTAGAGACGGAGTGATGGAGACGGAGAGCAGGAGCCTGGTCTGTTTTTCCTCTCACTTGTGTAACACGTCCAGATTCATTCAGTGTTTCTGTTCCGTCTCTGGTGTTTACATTTACACAAACACAAAAAATACACAAGTTCACCTCATAAAATCTGAAAATAAAACTGAAATCTACTGTTTTATTTGAAATTAAATTAAAATAATAAACACTTAAATCTCCCGTATCACTTTAAATTGTGTCATAATGTTGTTTCCTCCTCAAAAACAAACCCGGAGTCCTGTTTCTACTTTTTATTTTTGTTTTAATAATACGAATTCTGTTCAAATTTCACATTTTAAATGCAAAATTTCAGAAATATTTGTACAGATTGTGATTTTGATTTAAGTAGATTAATTTTGTGGCCTTAATATTTATATTTAGTTAGAATTTAGTTCTACTGTGTTGTTTTTGTCAGAGGTTTTAGTGTGGATCTGTTTCTTCATTCACCTGGTTTAATTTGCATAAGTGGGCGGGGCTATGGACAGGTGTCTCTGCTCCTGTCTCTGCTCCTGTCTCTGCTCCTGTCTCTGCTCCTGTCTGCACTCTTGTCTCTGCTCCTGTCTCTGCTCCTGTCTGCACTCTTGTCTCTGCTCCTGTCTCTGCTCCTGTCTCTGCTCCTGTCTGCACTCCTGTCTCTGCTCCTGTCTCTGCTCCTGTCACTTCTTGTGTCACTCCTCCTGTCACTCCTCCTGTCATTTCTCCTGTCACTGCTCTTGTCACTCCTCTTGTTTTTGCTCCTGTCTCTGTCCCTGTCACTTCTCGTGTCTCTGCTCCTGTCACTTCTCCTGTCATTTCTCTGTCGCTGCTCCTGTCACTGCTCCTGTCTCTGCTCCTGTCTCTGCTCCTGTCACTGCTCCTGTCACTGTCTGTCTGTCACTACTCCTGTCCTGCTCCTGTCACTTCTCCTGTCATTTCTCCTGTCGCTGCTCCTGTCTCTGCTCCTGTCACTACTCATGTCTTTGATCCTGTCACTTCTCCTGTCAGTACCCCTGTCACTGCTCCTGTCTGTACTCCTGTTTCTGCTCCTGTCACCGCTCCTGTCTCTGTTCCTGTCTCTGCTCCTGTCACTACTTCTGTCTTTGGTCCTGTCTGTACTCCTGTCACCGCTCCTGTCTCCGCTCCTGTCTCTGTCTCTGTTTCTGTCTCTGTTTCTGTCTCTGTTCCTGTCACTGCTCCTATCTGTACTCCTGTCCCTGCTCTTGTTTTTGCTCCTGTCACTGCCCCTGTCTGTACTCCTGTCACTGTTTCTGTCACTGTCTCTGCTCTGCTCCTGTCACTGCTCCTGTCTCTGCTCCTGTCACTGCTCCTGTCTCTCCTGTCTCCTGTCTCTCTCTGTCTCCTGTCACTTCTCCTGTCTCCTGTCCTGTCACTGCCCCTGTCTGTACTCCTGTCTCTGCTCCTGTCTCTGTTCCTGTCTCTGTCTGTCTCTGTCCTGTCACTCTCCTGTCACTGCTCCTGTCTCTGCTCCTGTCTCTGCTCCTGTCACTGCTCCTGTCACTGCTCCTGTCACTGCTCCTGTCACCGCTCCTGTCACTGCTCCTGTCTCTGCTCCTGTCTCTGCTCCTGTCACTGCTCCTGTCTCTGCTCCTGTCACTGCTCCTGTCACTGCTCCTGTCTCTGCTCCTGTCACTGCTCCTGTCACTGCTCCTGTCACTGCTCCTGTCTCTGCTCCTGTGTAGTTGTAGTTTGGTTGATTTTCTAGGATTGGGGCACATGACTTTGGGATTTAGTAAATCTAGTTTGTGACAGATGCCCTCCCCTCCCCCTCTCTGGTCTGAGTCTTGGTCCTGGTCTTGGTCCTGGTCTTGGTCCTGGTCTGGTCTTGGTTTGGTTTGGGTCCAGTCTTGAGGCTCTGACCTACAAGCTTTATTCACACACTCGACGGAAGAAGAGACTGAGAATGAGGCACTTTTTTTATGTTTCCTACAAAAATTCAGTTCCGTTTTGATTCTGAAAAGTAACAATAAATAAAATAAACCCAAACACGGCATCGAATCTGTCCAGACGCTTTTTTACTAAACAAAAAAGGATCACGAGGTTTGTCCACACGGAGATAAATGAGCGCACGTGTCGGTAACAACAAAACAAAGAAAGAAAAATGGAAATCTGAAGCCAAAACACGAATCTGATCCACGACTTTCAAACATCGGACCAAAGATCTTTAATCA